GGTCTGAGAGTCAGGCTGCAATGGCTCCTTTTTAATGTGGCCTTTATGGCATTCCCACCACAGTGTGGGATCCGAGCCAGGCGTTGGCGGCACGCCTAGGTGCGGCTTCGGCCGTGCCAGCCTCCAAATCTCTGTTGTGTTGGTTGAAATCCTGGTTATTGTTGTGTGGACCAGGGGGTGTGGTGGAACCCCAAGGTGAGGATCCGTCCGAGCCATCCACCTGCGGCCTCCCTCCTCTCCGGTCTTCTTGACTCTGTCTTGACACCGGGCCCAGGCGGGGGTGGAGGAGAGAGTGTAGGTAGATGCAGCGCAAGTCTACCGGCACTATAAACCCCTGCGCAAGTCACCGTCCCTGCTCCCACCGCTGCTGCAGCTGTGGGGCACACGGTGGTCATCGTCGAAACCGACGGACGAACTGTCGAGTGTCTGGGTCAGCAGAAGGGGGTGACTAAGTGTTGGTCGTGTGATTGGACAAATTATGGGCGGAATGGAGGGCGCATACTCACAAGGCTTCACGAGTATCAAGCCAGAGCGTCCGATGCGCGTGAGGTGATTTTAGTTGTGAGGGCAGACGGGAGTCACTGCAGCTGGACAGGAAGGGCCCCAGTTCTAGCCGGTGTGGATGGTCTTGTGTCAGCCGCCTGCCAGTGCTTGTCGCGGCCATCGACCGACAAAAAGGAGCCGGAGAAAAGGGGGCTGAAACGGCTGCTACACTACAAAGAACTACAACAATTCACGTTTAATACTTATTTTTAATGTTACGTCTTTTTCAAGTCAGCGACTGAAGAAGAATTTTATCTAAACGCTGGTGGTTTTTGACCTTGTAGGCAGTAACAATGTTCAAATGATTATTCGCTCGGCCGAATAGTTACTCATTTATTAATACCGTTTTTACGGCATGCAAAATAACCCTTTTCGACAATAAGTTTTTTATGAGTGCAGGAAAACTGTATCAAAGAAACCTGATGAGACATATAACTTTGTCTTTGTGAAAATAGACAGTTTGTAAACTGCGAACCTGAAGAAGAGAGGAAAACAGATTATGCCTTACAATAACTGTTGTTAGTTTAAGACATTTACATTTTCCAACTAAAACATATGGAGGTGACATAATTTACTATCAGAAAAGTAGAAGAAATGAAGTGTTTTACATCTGACGTAGGACGTATGATTCGAGTTACGCACGCAGAAACAGAAATTACGGCCAACGTGTTTCCCAGCACATAATGTTCCGAAAGACAGTGTATTCGGTCTACTGTTTTAGACATTAGCGATCACTTCTGCGCCCAAAATATAACGACTGGCAGAAGCTTAGTTTGAATACAATCATTTGCTGGATTATCGATTGTCAGCTAGCAAGTTGAATCACAAAGACCAGAAGGACGTTATGTCGCGTAAGCCGAGGCTCGCCGTTCCCAGCCACCTAGAAGATGTTACACAAACAAGCAACCTTCTCCCTGGTCTACTTCCTCGGACGCTTAGTGCCGTCCTCACAGAAACTAGCACGGACTGTTTACTGGAATATAATGATGACGACTGTGTTAGCTGCATGTCTGTCTGCGAAAAAACTCCAAGACATCACAAACAGGCACGCGTGCACACAGCTTCCCAAGTCCTTCATGGAAATGAGGCTCGTAGAAGACCCCGTCAGAACAATGGCGATGTGAATGACTTCGATGCAATGAGCGAGTGCGTTGCAGACAACAAGTACCGAAGCGGAGTTAAACTTTATCCTAGGCGGAAGATCATTTCAAGAGGTAAAAGTGGAACCAGACGCAGTAATCCCACTCTCGATACATCCAACTCAAACTTCTACGATGGCACTCACAGTTTTGTCACTTCACCTTATGTGAAAAAGGAGCGTTGTTGTTCCTCCACTTCTGGGGATAGTGTCCAACCACTCATGAAGATGACGAAGGCTATGACTGATGGACATGTAACGCGGACCAAGTCTGACATGAATGTATCTACAAGGTAAGCTTTGAGTATAATTTCCTTTTAGAAACGTCTGAAACAACAGGTAACGGCGTACTCGCATACGCTCTCCTACATCGTTGCCCAAATGTCCACTTAATCAGCAAGCAAGTTAAGGGATTAATGGTGGTAGAGACGGTCTATAGTGATAGATTCTCTTCTTAAAGTGCACGGAATCACGTTAATTGTGAATGATGCTTATGGTTTATCGGCTCGAAAATCCAAGATGGCCTACTTTAGACGCCACTCTAATAGCCAACTCAAAACGCAGACGGGGAATGTTAACCAGCACATAGTTTGATGAGAAATCGCCGAGGGAGTATACGTTCTCTTCAAGCTGTTTTCCTTCTTGATAGTTGACTGATGACAGACTTTTAGACAGAATGAGGGATCAAACAATGGGGAACTGACGCAGGGGAAGGGGCGCTTTATAAGCTGCCAGCCTTCCAAAAGCCTTCATTTGTGCCATGACGTTAATAAACAAGAACAGATTGTGGTCGGTTTTGCTGGAAATACTATTGGATGAGAGCTCGAGGATTTGGCGGTTTTAATCACCTAGTGTGGGAAACTGCATTCGACTGAGTACACTCATAACACGCTTTTCACTGATTTCAAAGATTTCTCAGCCAACCACGACCACCAATACCAGAACTAACATGTAATGGCGTCATCGGACTTTGAGACTTTCAATATCGCTAGAGACTGCATCCGGGCATCACTACAACCATAGGAAATGGGATATCGATTTGAATGAATGAAAATAGAACTAACCTTGACACATACTGATGCTAAACGAAGATGGGATGGATGCAGACGAAGAGAATGTGCTCAGATCTACTAGAAAGATCGAGTGTCAGTGTAGCAGCTTTGGTAATGAGGATAAACCGGAAGTTCAGCGGGACATATTTGAATGTTCCTGTATTTCTATGGCAACCGTTTCACTGTCAGTTACTCACTAGAAACAAGCCTTACACGAGCATTACGTTGATAATATGCGAAATTGAGTGTCTGCTACTAATTGAAAGCTATCATAGCCAAACTGACGAAGTTGGTCCCCCATGTTTTATACTATTTTTTTTTGATCAAACTGTTCTAAATTGTTTAAAATTGGGCACTTTTCGAAGACTTTGAGGAGCATAAGAAATAGCACCTCTCTTAACTTGAAATATGAGTAGGAAAAATATTTCTTTGTAAAATAATGCGCTGGCTCCATTGCTCGGGAACACATTTGTAGTATTTCGAACATGGAATGGCAGTGACAGATAAGCTAAAAATCAAAAACACATTGATTCGCCGGCGTGTCCCGTTCTGTCATCTGTTACAAGAGGTTCTGATATGTAGTGGGCAAAAACAGAAGTTTGCAAAACATGTCGGTCAAATAAAAGCCGTGTTCCTGATTTGTTTACTTAATAGTGGAAGAAAGTACGTGAATAAACAGGCATATGAATGAGCCAACTGTTCCCGTCGTAGTCCGCTATCAGGGTGGGGAATCAGTTATTCATTTTTTCACAGGCCGCAGCCCCTTACACCTGTCACCTCCAACTGGGACCATTGGCGGTTCTACCTGATTGTTTTGCGAATTGGGCCGTTACTTTTTCTGTCAGTGATCATTAACTCATAATTATATTTAGATGCTAGCTAACGGTGTCGCAGGGTTAAACTCTTCAAAACGGGTTTCGAACAGGACCATCCTGATCAGTAGGATAATACTTTTACCGCTATATCCAAGATCCAATCAGAATCCTCATGGCATCATCGATTTCTTATCAGGTGACGACAGCCTGAACGTCATAAACAGAAGTGAGCGCATTTTTTGTCATCTGCATCCCGGTTTGACTATGATCGGCTGAATGAAAGTCAAATAAACCCGGCGGAGTTAATTTTAGATCGTCTCTCTCATGTTTTTTTATGTCAGGGTTTATTCAAGTCAGACCGCAGATTGTATCGTCCAGTTAGCATTCCATTCTCGGTGTGAAAGCTGGAGAAAGCACGCAAATCAGTTTTTGTCAATCCCTACTGCGTCCCGTAAATATTGCAATTCCTTGTGCGACAATTACAATTCTCTGATGCTGGGTCCGGGCATGAATCCGAAACGTCAAGCACAAAAAATCCGTGTTCCAGCAATCGCGTCTACTGTCGATTTTAGGGCCCACAAATCAAGGGTAGGGGAAGAAGAGTCTTTGGGGCAAATTCACTCACCGACTGACGTTTGGTACAACTGGCTCTCTTGTAAATTGTTAGTGTTCCACCTTCACCGAATTATGACGAAAGTCTATTTGAGAATTATGGCAGTGGAAACGACTTCTTACTGTTCTAAAAATCCATCGGTTCTCTGCAATATTTTATTTTGAACACGTAAGCGGACAGATTGGACGTCATTCGGGGTCACCGTGACGTCTCCTTTCAACAGAGGGGACAACTGATTATATGTTGGAAATGCGTTCAGCGATCGGTTTACGCGACAAGCTCGTCCCGTTGTGCCTTGTGACTGGGGACGGGTATGACTGGCTAGTGACGAATAATAAACCAGAAATGGTCATTCCCGTCTTCCCCGTCTTTGTCGCCATACGACTGCATTCGGGGATCTAAAATGAACCCCAAAGCAAAGCGAGACGAGCATATCCGCTGCTCCAATCAATGGACGCAGTCCAAACATAGTTGCTATTCCCGAGTCGAGGCCCATGGCTCGGTAGTAGAGAATTCGACTTAATGATCGGAGATCCCGGGTTCGAATCCCAGACGCTCCAACATGGGGTTGCGTATGGCTGGCTGATGACCGCTAACAGGCCCGAAATGGTCATCTTAGATTCCCTGGACTCTGACGGTACTCCATTCAGACCTATTTGTCTTTGTCAAACATACATAAGTAAACTTTTGTGGTTATTAGGAGGACGACGCGTTTTTTTGTGGCCGACGCATGCCACAATATAGCTGCCAAAAATTAATGAGCTTGCTCAGCCTGAGCCTGCAATTCGCAACTAAATCAGAAGCAGAGATCTAACTTCTTTTCTTTGACTCTCCTGTACGCTGGCACACTGTCCGACACGACAAACCACCTACATCTGAATTTCCATTCGCAGTATTTAAATGTCGAACGCCAACAGCAATTACCCCCTTGTTTGCAAGGCATGCAAACATTTTTACAAAATCAAACAGCATCTCTGCTTATTCGCAGACAAAAGATCTGAACAATTACACGACCTCAGCGTCTTCAAACCAAAGGAAAACCGAGGCATTTTCGAACAAAACCTGCCCTCGACGAAAAATATCCTACTGATGCTGGGGAGTCCATCGTTTATAGTAAGGTAGTATCGAAGGTAGTCTACATTTCTACAAATGTTCTGCGGGAGATAGCGCCTTAGGGCTGTATATCGATCTGCTTTGGATTTATCAGGTCTCGGACGATTGAGTGCGCAAAGGACACGACAGAGTGGCTTTGGAGTGACAAGGTTCGTGTCTAGTAACACTGAGCAGAGATGGTTTTTCGAAATTTTACAGGTCTTGAAGCCCATGCGACATCAGACCCAACGGACATTCCACAGGTTCAACCACCTCCGCCAACGTCATGAGCAGCAAGTAGTGGGTGCTTGAACTACCATCGCACTAGTCAGATACTACAATTTAAAATTTGGTCGGAACCAAAGGCAGACCAACACAGGCGGCCATTGGAATTTGTCGATTTTTATGAGCATAAAAGCCTGGATAATTCCTGATAGACACAGATCTACGAAATTCGGGACAGCAGTCAAACTTGACCCTTATATATTTAAAGACTTTTCGTAACATTTGTAACCGTTCACAAGCTCTGCTGGAGGTTTAAAGTAAGGTTTTAGTTAGGGAAAGCATGTCCTTATATTTTTTAAGTACAGCTTATTTCATTGTATTAGGTCTTCTACCGTTAGGTCCTATCTATAGAATGCCATCCGCAGTTCTATCACATCCGAATTCACCTGAAACACCTGAAAGAGAATAAACATAGAACATTTAACTTTTTCTTCACCTAACAGAGAATAAGGAGCTGGTGGAACTGATTCCCGAGCCCAAGCTATCTGGAATGGTACGCATCGGAGTGAGCATTCGACGGCCACCTGGAGGTCCCATGGCTTCACAAGCAACATCTAATTTCTTACATTCACGAGAAAACTTGTTTTACAATGAAACGAGGTTATTTTGGATGTAGTCTGGAGTGTGAAATACACGATCTTTCAGACTTTCTCACCTGCGTTCCCGTTCTGGTTTAACAGGCAAAGTATCGGTCGAAAATTAATTAAGCCAGTGGAATCAAAATGAAGGGCATGTTAGCCAGCAGAGGTTCGAGTTGTCGACAAACCTGCCGTTTAAGCAGTTCACATGAATTCTCATCGAAGAAGAAGTCCGTGACGTCCCATCGTTTACAGATTATTTAAGGTTTGCATTTCCAAAACCGTCAGACCAGACATTCAATTTTGCCAGAAAATGCAGGCGCCTCTATGGCTGTGTTTACTGTCGCCCTTGTACAAGAGGAAAGCCTTCACTTTTTAGCTAAGGTTTCATTTTCAGTTTCCACTTTCTTCTTTTACAGGGTGCTCTAATCAATTAATATAATTTACCCAAAAATAGCAAGAATGACAGGCAAGTAACCTGGAATCATTAATCAACCCAAATTTATTTCATGCCAACAAGTAAGATATTAAGTAACATCCAACAAGTTTCGGATTTCGCTTGGCGTTTTAGTCTACTCCAATCGTCAATGCTTCTTGGGTAATAATAATCGCCTGCTCAAAGAAACTAGAGAGGGTTAATTCATGGCCAAAAGGTACGACTTACCAAGAAGTCAGACAAATCAACCTGATGTCTGCTTCATGTGGCGCGAACTCAAAGGCTTGGCTGAGGGCTGGACGATGTGTGGCATGACATGGGAAAGACAACTTTAGGTAAGCATACGTAGGAGAATTGGGTGGACGTAACAGAAAGACACAGTTATAGGGGACCATGGGCTCGTTCTGGACGACTACATTGGAGCCGTCCACGTAGACTTTTCCTTAGCCGCGTTAAATTAGAAGGGTTTGCCTATGTCAGAAAACATTCAGGAAGGAGTCCCTGTTGTACAGCTTTGGTAGTATTCGCGTCCAGTCACAGTTGGGAAAGGAGTGTGTGCGTGTCTCCAATTTTCCGGAAGTAACCGTGGCGCCAACGGGCGACAGCATCCGCACAAAATGACATAGACCGTTTGCAAATTCGGTAAGATCTTTGTCGCACTAGGGGAGGTTGAGAAGTGCAGTTTTCATGAGGTCTGGACGATTGTGAAGAAGGCTATTTCGATAATGAGCCAGACGTTGTCGGACATGAGGGGTGAGTAGACATCAGGGAGCCCCAGTGTGGTGCGATCGAACAGGTCACTCTGTAACACGTAGAGCTATATTCAGGGGGCAAGAATGCCGCAATAGGATGTGATGTGATGAGTTTGGATGTCTCGGAGGAGAATCATACAAGACGTAATTTGGCTGGTGTTGCGGAAATTAAGCTCTGCGAGGTGAAAACATTCAGCCATATCTGGTGCATTCAGGAGGATAGTCACTGTCTTTAACCAGAATCTATCGACCTCAAAAGTATCTGACAGGTTTCTTTCGAACAGACTGTTGCGCAATTTCGTCAAAAAAACTAATTTTTCCGGAATAACAATTTGCTTTCTTTTAGTAGTAGTGACTTCTGGACTACCTACCGTGATTACTGGCCAAGTTTTCCCCTCGCGGTAGCATTATCTTAAGTTATTTGTGATGAGTCATGTCTATTGATATAGCTGACTTTCAACTCACTCGGCCAGAGTATGTGGATTCCTACTTCGCATAGACGGAATCAACAAACAACAACTTTCCGTCAGCGAGGAGCTACGCCCTTATTTTTTTCCTTCTCTTAATCCCTCTCAGTTAACTGTGGCTTCCGTGGTCTCCAAGACTATTTTGTACTCATTTAATTCAGTGTTTCATGGCAAAAGGCTTGCATTTTTACATTACCTTGTTGCCAACCCTTTTCAGATAGCTTATTGGTGTCCGAAAATTCTCTTGGTCAACGCTCTGCTGTACTACTCAGAATTTCCTTCACTGTTATGAAAACAAGTAACTTTCTCGGTCATATCTTGTGTTTTCAAATTGTTTGCCCGTGTGTGGACTAAGCGAGCTCACTCAAGATGCTTCTTAGTTATTTGAAGAAGAAGAAGAAGAAGAAGAAGTTGGGCTCACCGGAACAGGTTTATTAGGATGCTGACGTTTCGAAGAGCTTGGTCGGCTCTCCATTGTCAAAGCGTAAAATGCACTCAATCCACCAGAGATCCCAAGTGGCGTGTCACGTTGGACGGCCTCCTGCTGGTCGATTTTTTTTCCTCTCTCTCTCCTCTCGCTGCCGCGGCCTATCAGGGGTGGTGTTTTGTCTGCGTACATTGTGAGTCACCATTCCGCCAGGGGGGAGGTGACTGAACCAGTTAGTTAATCTACTTTTGGATGACACTCGGACGCAGTTGAAACTGAGAATTTCTTGTCGTTACAGGTGAAGTTCGACATGCAGAGGACTGAGACCTAACTATTGATTTCCCCACAACAAATAACGGGATTTTCTGGACCGATTTTAAAGCACAGATACCACGATAGATGGATTGAAATGACTGTCCACGTTGCCTTGACAATATTTTTACGTGGACCTAGACTATTGCGAAATTCGTACTTGAGTTTTCGGTGAGTATTATTTGGCCTGGGTGTGGGGAAGCGTTTTTCGCATAACCGACACCAATCCTCAGTCCTGGCACTACACTCACTGACAGGAGGTGAGGAAACATGCTTCCCGCCGTGAATGCAGGCCTCGAACTAGCTCTACGGGTGTAATCTTGGGAATCGCAAATTCGCGACCTCCGGAACTTCGAGACTTCAAGCTGTTTATTCGTCTTAGTGAAGTTGTTTATTAGCCACTATGCTCACTGATGGGAAATCAGCAAGAACATTTGAAAATGTCAAATCTGGCCATGGGAGGTTCAAATGATGGCAAACTATGTTGAAAGTGGTTTCACCAAACGGGTTTGTGGCTCAATCCAGAGCTCCGCAAGCAGTCGCAGAACGACAAGTAGTATATGCAGTGGGGTTCTGAGTGGGATTGGGTATGCGTGGCTGATGAGGACCAAGAGGCCGAAAGTGACCATTCCAGTCTCCTTTCGCCTTGTCGGCAGACTCCCTCTGATAACAAACTCTCTAATAGAATTTTCGAGATGGACCGCGGCTCGAAAAAAGCATCGAAGAATTGTTTTTGTGATCCCGTTTAAAGGGGCTGCCTTCAGCGGACCGAGCACTTATGGAATGCCTTTTCACAGACGTTTGTAGCTATCAAGCAGAAATAGTATCTCGCTCCCGGGTGTACATATGTGCGAAAAAGTTTGAAGTTAGTACTCGGATAACTGATTACTCAGACTTACCTGTCGCTGTCAAGTCACGTATTCCAGTCACCACTGCGAATGTCAAGCGGCATTAAGTATTACCTTTGCATGAGGAACATCGGCTTCAGATAACATGCAAAATAGCTTTCAGAATTAATCTGATGAGCTCTGCTTTGCAATGGCGTCGTCCGATTGTTATTTATGGGTGCAATGGGCAGAAGTCGAAGGCATATCCCTTTACTCCCTCAGATGGGCTTTCGGGTCTTAATGACCTCAGCGCTCATTTAGCTAAGGAGAAAATAGTGGTCTTGGAGAACAGAAATCAGATGACAAGACCACTCCAAATGTGAAAACAGTTCAATTTTTATCCTAAATAATTTTTATTTCCAAATCGAAATATAAAAAACGGAAACAATTTCATCGAAGTCAATACAAGATCCATTGACCGAAGGAAAAGATGAAAATAAAGTTCGCTGTCGAAAGCGAAGTAATCCATCACAAATTCAGTCGTCAAGGCGAAGGCCTAAATCAGGGCCGCACTGTGTTTGAGCCCGCCTCGCCAGAAAACAGCCTATCGTGGAAATGACCTTCATTTGACCCAAACTGACGAAGTCTGCATCAGTTTGGAAAAGAGGCGTTCTCCTCTGAGTCGGTTGACTGCGAGTTGTCATTTAGATTCGCGAGACAAAGTTCCACGCGCACTAGTGGGGGCATGTCCAGGTCGTCGGCGCTCTGGTCGTAGGGCAAAACACTTATGACCCCGCCATTCTCTGCGGCGGGTGGGTAGATAAAGCACAGTCGTTCAGCAATCTGCCAGTTTGGACATGACAGGGCAGAGGCCAAGACCGGGATCGCCAACCTTGTAAAGGGCAAAGCATCCTAGTTGAGGCTGGTAACTACACTTTGTGGTAAAGATTAAGGCAATATTATGGCCTTCATAAAAAACTCCTGCCAAGTAGATAGGCGCAAGAACCCGCGCAGAATATAAACGTGCGGATCGGTAGAAGAGTCAAGAATAGGACTAAGTATGAACGAGTGTAAAGGTAAGCAGGACAGGAAGGCAGAGGAACTACACTTTAAGGAATTAGAAAGAAAACTGTTTATTGATGATAGTGTTTTAGTCCACAAACGAGACTGAGCAATGCTCACTGTTTCAATGTACGGGGCGGTATGTACTCTCGCGCCTTATTCGCATCAGCGGCCTGCAACTATTCTCTATAACTGTCTGCAAACCTTTGTCATTAAAACGGGCCACGCGGTTAATGCTCTGGAACAACATAGAGGCTAGATGAGAGTCCAATGGGCTTTATCGGAAATGCGGACCCCTAACAAATAACAACACTGGGGTGTATTAGCAGACCCAGTTGCCGGTTCACCTCGAGATCTCTGGGTTTGTGTGATCCCCTATTTCTTGCTGCGGTGTAAAATCCCAGTCAGTGTACGTTGTGGTCCAGGAATGTAACTGTACGTCTAGGGACGGGTTCACGCCGGGCAAGCCACCTACGTCCTCTCCCGTCCCCGATCCTCTTGAAACTGTCTTGACACCGAGTCCAGGTGGGTGAATGGGAGAATGTGCTGTAGTTGATACGCAAGTCTATTATCATCGTAAATTACTGCACGAGCAAGTCACAGTCCCCGCTCTCACCCTGCTGTAAAGTGCACGGTTACCATCGTAGGCGAACTGTCGTCGGCAAGATTAACCTGTCAAAAACCTGTTCGCATTGGAAGAATGTGTCGTCGGGCGCAGAACGTCGTGGAGAAGCCGCGTACCGCTAGAAGTTTTGTAGGTCTTGTCCTAGAGATCGGATTGCATTTATGACCTGTCCAATAATAATCAGAGTTGCCTTAGGACAAAACCACGATTTCTCACTTAGCAAACACAATGTTATAGACTCCGCAGCAAAATAACGAAAACTCACCTAAGTTGTTTCAGTGTTGCTTTTTGTGCCGCCTTAAACTAGAAGCAACCAGTGATACAGACAAAATAATGGACTTCCTGCATTCTAGCAGCAGTACTTTCGGAATCAGAATCTTAGAACCCAAAAGTTATGTACTTATATAATCCACCTTTCTAGTACCACGCAGCCTAATTCACTAAATCCCTGTATTCATTATAAAAAATTCTCCGCATTCTTCGATGACGGCGAGAGCGAGGAAAAAAATATTGCGATAACTGGGGCAGGTAGCACTGCGATGTCTTCAATAGTCACTGACAGTCACAAGATCAACTGCATCGGAGGTCTGCAGTGCTTGACTGACTACTTGCATAGCTACGATAATTTCGCGTCTCCGTCACCCTTTCATGACAGGTTCTGTAACTCGGTGTCCCGTTTATTTTCTTGTCACCACTTCAAATTAACCAACCAAGTTGAACGAACCTCGGGACTCCGCCCTCCGGCCGCAATTTAAAGTGATTACTCCTATACAACCTTCCTCACCTGATTGGAACCGTTCGTCTGATACGTAGACGTATCTCCTCTCCTCCTGGTAGTACGACCGTCATTATCATCCAGTTGATGAGATCAGGAAATTCGTCCGGATGCCCGGACACCCTTGATAACGAGCGTCGGGGGAGGCATTGGCTGTAAGCAGAGAGACGAACACTCCGGCTGCGGTTTGAATTGTTTGGCGACGAGTGAAGGAGGCAGACTTCTCTAGCCTTTACCGGCAACTGTGCCTCCACTGGCAAGAGGCTAGACTGATGTCGATTTGAAAGCATATTTCGTTTATTTACGGCGTTAAAATTCAAGGATGCTCATTATCCTTTTCACTAAACTTCAAGGGATTCAAAACTGCGTGACAGGACCCATGTGATCTTCGTCGACCGATCGATATGAATGTACGAACATGACGTGCATCAAATTCGCAGTTTGTGAATGTTACGCAGGAGATAACAGATTCTTAGTGCGGCCATTGTGTCTGAAATTCATTTACTCCTATGGAAACCTGTGTTGTTAAGTCTAAACAATAACGGGATGAATCTATAGTCAATACAAGTAGATTTGATTGGAAGGAGTTATAATCGTTTGAGTGGCTGGAAGAACTTTTGAGCTTTGGAAATTGGACGTCCAGTTTTTGATTCAAATTCAGCCGTGAACATTTTTGGCTTCAACACAGGAGAGTAGCACTTAGCTAATTGAGGTCATCTACTGAGTATGACCCACAGATGTCGATGTAAATGACGCTCTAAAAATATCTCTTCAGTTGAGCATTGATGTAATCCAAACTTTTGAGCACGTAATGAACCAGAATACTGAGATTTTTCGACGAAATTTTGTCTATTTCAAAATAAAATCGTGTTTTACATCATTAATTGGACATTCAAGCAAAAGCTTCATCAAGCAAGTGGTTTTTAAATGTTTTAGCTTATTCGTAACCACGTAATCACATGGTTATGATCCACCCCAACCGGAGATTGTTTGTACATTTTCTGATATAAAGCAACAATTCTGACATACTATCCTCATTTATAATCTTTTATAACGAGGGGATCACGCAGAGCTCAGTTTTAAGCCCGACGCTATTCTTTTTTTCCATCAATGGCTGCGCCAGAGATCCAGACAGTAATGCCATACCGTCCGCTTACGGCATAAAACTGTAGAAAGTTGTCCACAATGCGGCAGGCGTCAACTACCTGCAAACGAACCTTAAGAGGCTCGAGGACCGATCGCAGTGCTGGCTTATGCCCTTCAATGTAATTAAGTGAAGTTTTCTTCAACTTGGCAGCTGCCGAGACTCCAGTCTGAGGACTTACTTTTTAAAAGATACACCACTGCCACAAGTTGGCAGTCAGAAGGACTTGGGTGTCGATAAAAGCGAACAGGCGAGTTCCAAGAAGCAGTCCAGAAGAAGAAGATGCAATCGGTGGTACAGCGGCGCTCAACAATCGTTTTTACGGAACTCCCGTTGTGCCTTAGGGCTCTCTCCCGATCCTAACCAGCAGCCGCACAGCGGCGCATGATATAGGCAGAATAAAATTACCGACAAAGACCAGGGAGACTGGAATGGCCATTTCTGGCTTATCGGCCGTCTCCAGCCCACCATATCCAACTCCAAAGTGTGGAACGCCTGGGGCTCGATCCCGCGTCCTGTTGGTTAGAGGCTTAACGCCTGTAACCACTGAGCCACGGGCTCGTTGTCCTGCCGGTTGCGATCGAAAATATGCAACGGTAGAGGAGTGCTCACCGATCACTGGAACAAGAAGTTTATTGGCCTAGCGTTATGAACTCTTACTCGAACCCATCATCTGCAACCGTCTCTAAAGATGGGTTAAAGTGAGAATCCAAGACGTCAGGCCAATAAACTTCCTGGTTCATTTATCGCATCTTCTTCTTCTGGACTTCGGTGGGTGGGTTACATCTTCACTCAAACCAGCACTGAATTGTACGAGGGCGACAAGTCGGTCATGTATATATCGTATCTCATCGGGTGAGCTTTTGTGGGATATGTCAAAGATAGCTTCCGCAAAATATTTGGGGCCTTTGTGCGACCTCCTCTAGAATACACCGTACATGCATGGAGACAGTGGACTGTCAAGCGCTGTACCGTCTTAGAGAAAGTTCAGAGACGGGCGACAAAAATGACCAAGGGTCCTGCCCTATGAAAGCATGCTGTTGACTCTCGACCTATTTTTTCTTTCCTGCAGGCAACTACGAACTGATCTCATACTAACCTTCAGCATTACGAATGGCCTGGACTGTTGCTCTGTCTCCATTGACTTTTTCACGCAGTCTAACGCCTCCACTTTGCAAGGTCATCCCATAGAACTACGCACAGGTGAAGGCAAAGATCAGTGGACGCAAGTTTTTCTTCAGTGGCAGAGGGACTGCAGCATGAAACTCACCGCCCACTGAGATTGTTCTCTCCTCCTTTGCGGATTCATTGAAGTACAAACTCGACAAGCACTAAGCTTCTCACTTGCCAGGCACACACACCTCCACAGTCATCAAACTTACATACGACTGTGCCACTTGCAATTAATGAGTAGACGCTCATGTTAACTCTTTTTCGACCAAGAAGCATGTGCTGGCTTTTCACATGTAATTATGCAACCAATCTCTTTTTGGATGTTTCTTACACACCGGTCCTTATTCAAAGACGTTTTCTGCGTCTCTAGGCAGATTTTTTGTAAGATCCCCAGAACACACTTGCTTACAACTGCACCTGTGCTTTCACCGTCTTCCGCGGACTCTGCAAACAATATTCATTTGGACAAGTAAAAAACCTACGGGTAGGAATTTCTGGCCTCGATGTGGGCATTTCCCTTTCTCGCGATTGGGCGGAAACCGTGATGAAGTGGTAGACTCATATTCATCCATTGCCGCATAGTACTCACTCAAGCGTCGCTTAATGCGTCTGAATGTGGTGCTCCGGTGGGAACCAGAGTAATTAAACTTCATATTTATTTTTAGTGGTTAGTAAGATTGGTATGTAAAGGGTATAACCGCACTTTCAACACGAAGACTGCTACAAGGCACACAATTTCACTAACGGAAAAAAACTGATAAATTAACGCTTTAAAACTAATCACGAGTCACGTTGTTTAGCACAGACATCAATAACAGACATAAAAATAAACATTGATTAACGTAGCACTGACTTAACAGATTCTCTATCTTTGAAGGCAGCACTGACGCTCACGCCGCTTAGCTCGGAGATAAGTTTACTAGACATTTGTAACTTAAACAAAGCTATAGCTTTTGCGGCTCGTCTATTGCCTAACTGCTAGTCATGGAGCAACTATATCTTCAAAAATATTAATTATTCCAACGAAAAATATACCCCTATTGTCTATCTCACCGAGCTGCAATTTGCAAAATAGAGGAAGCTCTAGCTCTGTTTGACCCCCTCCCGGGCCCTCCGTTTTTGCCTATTCGTAAATCGTGCCGATTTGTTGAATCCTAGCGCTTCCTTGAACAAGTTATGGCTGACTTTCCCTGTATCTTCGTTTTCTCATAATCTGGGCCATTCTGGTGAGGAAAAGACTGCAGTTGATTCTGAAGGATTTCAGCGCAACAAGAGGACGGTTGCACCCACACACTTGCTCACTCCGCAAATAACCCCAAGCAGATCTAAGCAGGTGCCTAGTTCGAGAGCCTGGTCCAAAAAATACGTCCTTTTTGGTCGGATGTGGTTATGCGGCCCCACCTGAAGTAAACAAAACCCAGTCAGCTTTAATACGGCACCAGTGGTAGTAGAGATTTTTTGAGGTGGGGCCGAAGAACGCACAGGCGACGAGGTAAAATAGTTGTATGCAAAAGAAAAGCTCCTTGGAATGCGCGGTTGTACTATGAATGGTTGGGAAATAGTCGCGCCTTCTCCTAACCATAGCTCCTAACCCCAACCGCAACAGTATTGTGTCCATCAGGTGGGGCTACCGATCCAAGTCTTACCTTCTTTTTATAAGAAGCCTTTCCCTTAGCGACCATTCACCGCAACTCGAAACACTGCACACTTTGGCTCCTCCAAATTCTTATATGAATGCGATTAAAAACTGGCTGCTCATAGTCCAACCTAAGAATAGATATCCCGCTCCAATCCTACAGTGCATTCTCCGAGCCGAGCAAACTATCCACACGACCGCATTTTCAGTGTAACCACAGCACGGATGTTCCTCTTGGGCAATTGAACTCTCCGGGTCCTCGGTATCAGTTGGATCTGGATTTGCATTTCCTTTATAAGCTTATTTATCTCGTAGTGGAACTCACCCTCCTATCATTTTTCCATCAACATCATGCGTTCCTTTAACCGAATCTAGCGTCCCTGATAACACAGATCCTTTCGCAGAACCGGACGCGAACACCCAATCTCCTATTTCGGCAGACATTCAGTCGATGAGTGGCAAAGTTCCCTCCTCCTTGCCCATCCCGGGGAAGAGACAACTAGCCCCTTAGGGTTTTCGTTTCGAATGCCAAGTCCCTGCCAAAAATATTGTCGCTTCAAACTCTGACGAGAGCCCATTGCCGAGACGTTGTTCTTCTAACCGAGACATGTACGGCGTCTTAGGCGGGTGACTCGAAACACTCTTCCTGGCCTCGCTTATATTCGAAAAAAACTTCCTGGGCAGCTGTGGCGAAAAAAGTTCACTAATGTAAGAAACTATTTGAATTTCTATCGATGAACCGTCCAGGTCTTTTCCTGGTAGAGGATCGCTGAAGGATTTAAGATTATATGAAAAAATAAGTATCGCTTACTCACCGGTTTTGCTTCTCTCCCATACAACGCCAGCGAATATTGGCTGTTTGTCCCTCGCGTGCATTTCATAGAGCAGTCGATTGTACTTCTAGGTATCAATTGCTCGAGGGACGACTTCAATCTTCCTAAATTCTGCTGATTTCTACTTTCTGGCCCCAGAAGATTCAAACTCTTGCTCGAAGCCACGAACGACAAGTGGAATCAGGTTGTCGATCTTCCCATTCGACGATGAAGCATACTTGGTTTAACTTCCTTTGGAGGCTGCTTGCCTTTGTCACTATCACCTCTAGCTCCAAACGGGGGCCCTGACAATCAGAGATTAAGCTCAAAAATAGCGCTTTCCTTGATTGTTTATCAGCCTATTTGCAAGATTCACCATAACAACTTAATTCTCACAACTGGTCAAATTTCCTCCATGGCTCGGATGTAAAGTTTAGCACTGTCAAGCTTAAGAAAGCTTTCAGTCTCTCGTTTTGTTCATATTAAAGACATCACTGGTGTTCCTAATAGTTTTGTGCTCGTTGTATGTTCTCTCCATCCCCGAACACTCATGTATCGATTTCACATCAGCAACGATAATAGGGTTTCTCTTGGTCTATCGTAAGCTTAGGTGGGATATGAGTCTGTACGAAGAAAAACGACTTAAGTATGGGACTATGTTCAGTTCAGTTTATTGAGGGAAATGTAGGTCTCACCTTTGAACTCCCTATTCGTTTACAAACAACTGCAAAATCTTAAAAACTCGAAAAGGTATCATAAAGGAACAAATAATCGGCAAAGCGTCAGGTCTGTACAGACAAACAAACTGTCTCGAATTTTAGTGGTACGAGCAGTTGTAGAGCGAACTTTTTTTTTATCAAAACCAGGGTTCTCGGGAATACGTGATAACACATTGTCCAGGAGTTCAGCTCACTTTTTGAAGGTACCAGACAAAGCTTTTTGAAACCTTAGTAATTGCTTATCGATGCTGTAGAGATAGCTGTGAATGAATTAGGACCGAATTTCCTCAGTGAAAATAGTATTCACATAACTTAGGTAGCGTCATTTATGAATGTAATGACTGTGTTGAGCTGGCATGAACTTTAGTTGATGGTCTGTGTGTTGATGGAAAACAAAGAACACACGCAATCATCAGTATGCTTTTTCAGTCGCTCCAACAATGTCGAGTCCAAAACTAATTTGGAAGATCAGTTGACTATTCTACTACCAATAGCGGGAAGAAGTCGGATTGAAAATGCAGCCAGCACACGTCCATACACTGTTCACCAGGCGCACAAGAAGTTGAGGACGGAGGTGTCACCGAAGTATGTCCTCAGAAAACAGTCCTCGTTGAATGCCATGCACAATCTAATAAACCAGGATAAGATCACCCCTTTACCCTCTGTACCATAGAGGGCATATTTGTTAGTCTTTCTAGAAAGGATCTATGTTTTAAACACTTACCTAATCTGTCGACCGGTGAGGAAATTTACCAAATCAGTTATCATGCGATCTGCGGTCTGCAGACCTGAAGAATGAAATTTAAATAAAGGCAACAGAAGGTACCATAAAAAGTTCCAAAGGGTCAGCATCGAGAATTATAAACGTCGTATGGGTGGAGTGAAGTGCGCAGGCGGTAGACCCGTTAGACATTATACGTAACAAAATGCACATAAATTGCTATGTATCCAAAATCGCGATGGCGCTGCGAACACGATATTCCAGGTTGGTCGAATTTCACATTTAATAATCAGATGCTCTTGTGCAGGTGGTTGTTGGCTGGATGTAGTGAAGGAGGACACTCGTTTTCATGCTGGAATCTAACAGTGATACTCAGACCAGGTATGAGGTTGGTGCATAGAACTATTTGGTCATTTAAACTCCTATGGACTTGACAGGACCCAACGTCATCGCGAAACATGGTCTCACTGAAGTCGCGTTCATGAAGGCCATTATTCACATGGAGAATGAAGAACAGGAGCTCGAGAACTGAGTCATCATGAACGCCATCAGTCATGTTTAGTCAGCCGGATTAACTATCTGCGACAGAGGCACGTTGTGCTTAACCGACTAAGAATGTTATTATCCAATGCACAAGCTTTCCCCTGACGCCAAGGACGCTCACTTTACATAAAAGACGTTGATGTGGAACGCGGTCGACGTCTTTGGGGGAATCAACATATACCGCACGTACTTTGAAGCCTCCGTGCAATTTAGTACAGACTTCCAACGAAGTCAGAAGATTTGAAAGGCAACACAGCCGTCACCGAAACCATGCTGAAAATGCTATTATATGCCATTTTCACCGCAAACTTGCGTTCTAGCGTGCTTTATAAGGATCGTCATCACTTACAGCAGAGGCAAGTTAAACGGGTGGGACCAAAGCTGTTTTTAATGATCCGGCTGCGTCTTTCATGCAAGGAAAATACATTGGCCGACATTAATGCGCGGTTGTAATATGAATGGTTAGGAGATAGTTGCGCTAACCCCTAACCCTAACCCATAACCCCCACCGCAACAGTATTGCGTTCATCAGATGAGGCTACCAAACCACATCATGCCGAAGAGTTACCACCGCTCTGTGAAGAATTCCTCATACATCAGTCCATGAGACCTGTCTGGTTTAATTCCGTTGAGGCCCTGTTTTACACCTTCGACAGAAAGGGCAACAGTTTCAACGATAGCAATGTCTCATCCTATTTTAGACTAAACTTTCGTCTGATGATTGCACCGTTAATACCGATTTGATGAACGATGGCAGAAGCTTCCTTTTTTAGGCCAGTAAGATTAGACATTTCCGATACTCTCCCTGAGGCACACACTTTCGTCCTTGTTTTTCCTCTTGCATCGGATGAACCCGTAGGACATCTTGGCGCATACAGTGACTTCCGCTGTTAGTCACTGCAGGAAAGATTTTCTAAAAATCCGATTCCGCTTGCAGCGTTAATTACGTTGCTCCTTATCTTCAGCAAAGGACGAGGGTTTTTGTAGTTTTTAGTACTTTTTCCACCGTCCATTACTGATTTTAATGCCTTCTTATCGTCTCATTGACCAACCTAGGTCATAGACAGAGTCCTAATAATTTCATTGAGGAATGGGCTTCACTTAATCGCTATACGAACGCCACAGATACTGTCAGGAATTCCCCGTATCGACCTTGAAAGCTAGCTATGTAGTTTCGAAGCAGCAGTCTTGGTGTCTAAATCGTCATTACGGTTATTTTCTCAGATCTTGGATTTCGATTGTAGAAAGGATGAAAGAGTCAACGCGCAGGAAAAAGTACAATGGTCAATTAAGTCAAGTGGTGGCTGTGATTTCATTTTCCTTATAAGACGTTTGCTTCTTCCTTAGAAAACTCATTGATGAGTCACCCTATCGGATCACTTATTAAGACAGGAAGCCATAAGTACCCTGTGTTCTCTACTCTATTTCGTCGAGCCCACCTTCTTCAGCTGACACAAAAAGGCCGTGGTTTGCCGTAACGTTTGGATGCGTCACCCAAGCAGGAGTCTCTTGTTTCACGGCACAGTTCTGAGTCCGCTACGTTTCCTTCTCTATATCAACGTCCTCATCAGAGTAACAAAGTTGTCATTGCAAGGCGTTGAACACTTAAAACCGCCTATTGCTAGATGGTATCATTTCCGCCTTCTCTTTGCTCAAAGACGCCTTCCGTTATTTGACTGCCTACTGCCATGCTAAACTTTAAGCGTTCCAGGTTTTGTGTGGTGTGAAATTCTAGGCGATATTGATGGTTAGCAAAACTCTATGCTGAAGTCGCTAATTAGCTTGTAGATAACGTAATTGATGAAGCAAAACGCAAATACATACTTCCATTAATACATATGGGACATTAAAATCCTATGCCAGGAAGCAGCTACATGTCCACTTAAAGTACATTTGTAGAGGGCTCATCAGTGAATAAATGAATAAAATTTCACATTGATACGGTCCTTGCATGGGGTGTAGAGGTGTCCATTTTTGGGCCTATGTGATAGCCGTAGAAGGTCGCTTGCTTGCAGGTGCAGACTACGTTCAGCGTCAACTAACTGGCACCGAACTATCACGTGTGGCTGCCCGAAGCTAGGCTCTGCCTAGCGCCCACATACCGGTTACAGCCTCGACCGGCTGGCTTAACCAGGTGAGGGTATCTGTGTGTGCATCTCCTCATATTAGGAAGCTTCGTCCGCAGTCCTACTCGATACCACAAGGTGAGTGAACACCCAGGTAAGCCGAATATTTGTATGTTGTCTCTGCTTTTTGCTTGCTCTTGATTGCTTGCCTTTGTCTGCTTGCCTGTTTTTGTCCTTGTAGTAAGCTGATAACGTTCTGTTGAATTTTTCAACTCACCGTTTATATTTTGTCAACCAGGTAGCTTGGAAAGGGACGGGAAACTCTGCTTCTCGTCCCTCCACCTTCTGCCATCCCACGCCTCCCCTTCAAATCGTCCTAGGGCGACGGCGACTCCGATCGCATAGGCGGCTCAGGTTACCTCAGGTCGTTCTCGCAATAAACAAAGTCTCGGCCTATAATGGAGTCCGGCAGCTGTCTGGGATGTCTGAGCAGACCTATATGAGGGAAGCATTTCTCACCCCCACGAGGGAAGCGGGGCTAGAAAATGTTCCCTAAACAAATGCTAGGATAACGTCCTCTACGCGCTGAGCGAGGGTCGAAGACGCAAAGCACACGGTCGAAACAGTCAAACAAAGAACCAAATCTCTCGTTTCCCTCTCCTTTTCCCAACCTCCGTCCCACCTCACAGACAGCTAGAGTAGGTTCGCTCACTCTGCCAGTCTGTAATGTTCGTTTGCTTTCAGACAATCCCAGGAGCAACCGACCGCAATCGAGGACGGCGCTATTGGCTCGGGAACTGACGCAATACAAGGTGGCCACATTCAGCGACACCCGGTTCTCTGAATAAGTCCAGCTGGGGAGGGCGGGTGCCGGCTACACTTTCTCCTGGAACGGTCGCCCAGGGCAGAGCAACGGGACGAGTAGTTTCCATTCGGAATTGCATCGTGGGGCAACTAACTTTCTACTGCGGGGTGTCAATGATGGCTTGATGAGTCATCACCTGCCTCTCCAGGGAGGCAAACTCGTCACCATCGATTAACAGCTCTGACGCTGTAAGGAACAACTTATAGGAGGACTTTTACGCCCTTCTGGCGACTGTGCCGAAGGCGGACAAGTTGGTTGTCCTTGATGACTTCAAAGCCCTCGTCGGCATGACCAGTGCTGCTTGGATTGGGTATCCATGGTTTCGACTGTTCCAATGATAATGACCCATTCTTCGTGCGAACCTGCACAGAAAACCGCCTCATCCTGACCAACAACTACTTGCGCTCCTCGACGCGAGAGAAAGCCACCTGGATGCATCCTCCGGTCGCGACACTGGCACCTGCTGGACTACGTCCAATTCCGGAGACAAGACTAACGGGGCGTGCTGTTAACAAAGGTAATCAAGGCGCCGACAAGTGATCTGACCATGGCCTCGCCATCTCTAATATGAGCATCCGTCTTCAGCCTCATATAAGCCTTCATGTAAGTGATCCCCACGTAATTTGAATGTTGCTTTGTTGCCGTTGCCTGCTCGTCATCTCCATTTCAGCAGTGAAGTAGCCCAAAGGCTGGTCAACTTTCCAGTCGCAGCCGCGGCCGCTAACGAATACTGTCCCGTGGAGAACCGGCGGTTTCAACTGCGTGACACAGCCCAGCAGACCGCCCTGGCTGTGGCTAACCTAGTGAAGCAGGACTACGTCTTTGCGCCTAAACTCTTCAATCTCATTTTCTCTGCCATGTTGATGGACGCCTGCCGTGACGATCGTTCTGGGATCCGCACCGCCCCCAGGACGGTCGGCCAACTCCTCAATCAACAGGGGATGCGCTTCCAGTGGCGTTTATCCACAACTACCGTTAATTAACTCCTCTTCTCCGACGACTGCGTTCTCAGTGCCACTTCCGAGGTTGGCATGCAAAGAATCATCGACCTCTTCGCCGTCTGCGACAATTTAGGCCTTGTCATCAACATAGAGAAGACGGTAGTTATGCATCAACCGCCACCGTACGCTACCAACGTCGAACTTTAAATCAACGTGAACGGCATTCAGCTGCAAGCCGTGGACAACTTCACCTACCTGGTCAGCACTCTCTATTACAGCACCAAGATCAACGATGAAGTGGTCCGTAGGATCTCCAAGGCCAGCCCAACCTTCGGCCGTCTGCAAAGCACAGTCTGGAATCGCTGCGGTCTTCAGGTCAGCACCAAACTAAAGATATACAAGGCAGTCATCCTGCCGACACTGTTGTACGGAGCGGAAACCACGACGGTGTTCAAGATGCAGACACGAAGACTCAATCACTTCCACCTCAGCTGACTTCGACGGATATTGAAACGCAGGTGACAGGACCGGGTGCCGGACACGGACGTACTAGAACGGGCGGAAATCCTCAATATCCGAATCATGCTGAGACAGCTGCAACTGCGTTTGAGCGGCCATCCCATGCGGATGGACGACGAGCGGCTACCCAAACAACTATTCTACGTAGATGACGCCACGGGTTGACAGTGCGGACGGGCGCAGCGATCTACGGAGCCAACCGCGTTACCGCGGCGAAAGCCACATGCGAGGGTCGCGAATCTCAACCGCGCTCACATCTCAACTCCAACGCTCGACAACCCCCAGCCTGCTAAGTAGGTCAGCGGACATTCAGTTCACCAATGGGACTTATTGGACATCTTCGTACCAACCACAGGACCCGGTCGACACCACCCGTTTTCCCCCGTCCACTTCTGCCTAGCCTCCCACGTCCATGATCAACACTCACCGCACTCCTTAATCCCAACTGCCATCCTCTCCTTCCTCTTCCCCTCGCCCTCCTGCTGCTGCTGCTCCTCCTCCTCCGTCTTCTTCTTCTTCTTCTTTTTTCTTCTCCTCCCCTCTTTCTCTTCACTCTCCTCATCCTTCATTGACTCAAGCTCCATCACGGCGGCTCCTGTACCCGCCACCGCTGCAGACATTCCAGACACGCCGACAAGCACTAATACCGCCACCGTCTGCACCAATGATGAAAACCTGGGTCAATGCCTGTCCTCATTCCAATCGCACCTTCACCTCACGCATCTGATGATCGGTCACTTGCGGATCCATCGCACAGTGACTGACGAACCAATGTATGGAGCACCAATCCGCACTCGCCACATTCGCCTCCAATGTCCACACTGCCTCCGCACATCCGCTCACCGTATGAGCCTATTAAACCGCATGCGCGTCCACGAGAGCTGAATTGGCCGCCGTCTCGCCATACCTAGCACCTCTTGCACACCAGCGACGCCTAGCCCAACAAATGACCAGTCGTCCAGCGTGTCCATCATCAGCGGCTTTATCGCCGCCGGCATCTTCGAAACCGATACTGACACTGCCGGCTTCTCTTGTCCCAAATGTTTCCATACATTCACCTCGCACGTCGGCCTGGTCGGTCACTTAGGAATCCATCGCCCGCAGACTGGCGAATCAGTGCCTGGAGCATCCAAATACACTCACCGCACCCGCCTTACCTGCCCTCACTGCACTCGCACACTCACTCGACGCATGGGTCTGTTAGGTCATTGCACATCCACGAAATCATGCAGCAGACAACTGCCGGTTACGCCACACCATCACATCTTCCTCCACCTGCATCACGCAATATAAAATAATCCACCACAAACGTCAAACTGCGTCTCAGACGCATGCGGGAAGTGTGCGTCTAGGCTCCGTCTCCATGTGACCCCTACTTTATGGGATTTGAACCTGAAGCTATCACGACTCGTCAAGCGCCGTGGCCTGGAAGGCTGCTGACTAACGCCCCAACTCAGTCCACGCAGTCTGCCCAGTTGTGTGTGTATGTGTGGAGCGCAGATTGGTGGGCCGAGAGCCAGGCTGAAACGGCTCCTTCTTAGCATAACCGACGGCACTCTCACGTATGTGAGATGTACGCCGCCCGACCGCCGTTGCGTGGAATCCTGGTGTTTGTATTTGGGGGCCAGGTCGTGCATATGGCGTGCGTAAACAAGTCAATAGTTATGTCAGCCACCTAGGCCATTCCCTGCATTTGTCAAATGACTGCCCTGGAAGGTAGCTGGGGCCTGGGAATGGGAATGTAGAGTGGAATCGACGGCTCAGCGCATTTTCCTTGGAATACAAACGGGAAATGTATACGTGCCCAGAGGCCATGCCTGTGGAGAAAGCCTGTAACCCTAACAGCTTAGATGTGATGGACAGCAGTCAATATCGATCAGCTTCGGTCGGCTATTGTATTCAATCCCATGAAATGGGCAGACGCTCGTACGCATGAGTTCCTCAGATCAAACTAAGATTTTTGTATATTAATCCTTAATGTTCTGCCTTGATGATCGGTGGACTCAGAGCGCTAGTCCCAGAACAAAACCATGATGTCATTGCTATAACGAAAACATGACCGAAATCCGAAATTGTAGAATCCGAGTTTCCAATAGGGGGTTATAAGCTGTTTCGCAGAAATCGTCAAAACAGAAAGGGCGGTTGTGTAGTCGTATATGTCAAGACAGGAATTTCGGTAGTTGAACGAGCCCACATCCTCACCCTTGAATGCGCATCCGCCTGGGTAAAGATAAAGAAGGAAGACGTGCAAAATCTAGAATTCCTGACTGTTTATAGACCACCAAATCTCCGAGTGCAGCTGATGTGTCGCTCCTCCATTTAGTTAAGGAATGAGCTAGCAACCAAGAGGTTCTTATTGACGGGGATTTCAACGCACCTACAATAGAGTAAGAGAGTGTAGCGGTTAACGATGCGTAAACTTTGTTTATCCATTAGCTAATGGACCTAATACTCAACCTCCCTCTGACGCAGCATGTAAAAGCACCAACAAGATTTAGAGAGAACAATAGAGCCAATGACTTGGACTTAGTTCTTATGAAGAACTTCTCTAATATTGACGAAGTGTATTCCAGAGCACCTCTCGGATAGAGTGACCATACTACGCTATTATGGGATTACTCGCTCTTCTCTTAACGCCAGTAGAGAACAGAAGGCCAACCCAATATACGGTTGCCGATTTTAACTCGATGAAGAACGAATTGGCGTTCATAAATTGTGACTGTTTGCTCAAGGGGAATCGAGAGACGACTAGAAATCGCTTAAGACGAGTTCACTCGATCTACTTCGGCGCTGTGGCCTAGTGAAATGTATAAACGACCAGTTGAACTGCCCGGTTAAGTAGAAACCTCAACAGACAGTTAGGGAGGAAAAGTAAAAAACGGAAATGTTCCGGGAAATTCGGTCACCAGTGCACCCCGAGGGATTTTTGCCAACGAATTACAGTCAAAAAATGCATCCACCAGGCAATGGAAGACTGTGTCTCTGGAACTGCCTTACAGGCTAAACAAGGGCCCGAAATTTTATTCCACTATATTAACAGTCGACTTAAAACAAGGACCCGTTCGCAGTACTGAAAGACAATAATGGTGTAGAAATCATCCAAATCGGTGAGAAAGCCGAACACTTGGGATAGTACTTTGACTTGGTTCTTACTAGAGTAACGGAGTTCCGGAGTCGCAGAGTCATTAATGCTGTTGAGGCCGCTGGTCCCGTGCTTTAGTCCGTACTTACTAATACATCTGTCGCGGAAAGTGATCTGTAAAATCTCAAAAAAACCAAAGTCGTCGAGTCTGGACAATAACCCTACAAAAGTATTTAAAGAACTGGCGAACGAGCTCTCCAAACCACTAGCACATATCTTCTATTTGTCAGTCGAATTAGGGAGGCTGCCATTCGAGTGGAAGACAACAAATATCTTCCCGGTATACAAGGGTGGGACTCGCACTGGTACTATTAATTTCCAGTTTGCTAATCCCGCCTGCATCTGCTGTAAAATGATGGAAGCCATGCTTAGGAAAGAACCAATGTATTTCCTGGGACAGGACCACTTATTCCCAGGGCTTCAGACAGAGTCGCCCTTGTCTGTCCACTTTGCTGCCCTCGAATCAGCAGTGGACTCGGACACTGGAAGAGGATGTTAGGGTGAATGTTACCTACACGGATATTAAGAGAGCAATCTACAGCGTCCCACACAAATGTCTAATCTACAAACTGTCTAAAAGTGGAATAGGGGGAATGTTGCTGGCATGCATCGCAGATTTTCTTACAGGGAGAGCACTAATCGTGTGTATTGATGCCTTGAGGTCAACAGCTACCCCCGTTCTAGTTGGTGTCCCCTTAGAGCTCAGTCTTAGAGCCATAACTATTTCTAGTCTACATTAAGGATTGTGTCGACGACTTATGATGCAGCGCCGTCATGTTTGCCGACGATTTAAGAGTGGAGGTTTTCACTGTTCGCTCATTTTTCTTAACGGACTGTTGCATATTGTACAGATTCTGTCTGTCCTGTCCAAAATTCATCTAAAAATTTGTTTTCACTTTCCATGAAGGGGTCCCAATGAGTATTCAATAAGACTAATTTCTTTTTGTTTTATTTATTTATCTGCCCGATGCTCCCTGTTTTCGTAGCCCCTGCCATCCTACATCCCACCGAACGGTTCTCCATCATCATTTAATTAAACTCCATATGATAAATTTCGGAAGCTTAGCAATAATTGTTTGTGTTTCGCTTCTTAGTAATCTACATTCATACTGTCCAACTGCACAAAAAGGGTAAATCTATGATTTTTATACTCAATCTTAGAGAAACCGCCATTCTCTCCACGGAAGAATTCGAACACACAATGGGGTTAGTCACTTTGCAAGTCGCGTGTGTATTGTCGCCTTATACAGCCTATTTTATTTAAGTACAATAAACAGGCAGAAGAAGTTTTCACTTTTCCTCTCCTGCTGTAAATATTTATAGGTGACCAAAAACGAGAAGTTGTCTAGATTGTTTTCATTTGTTTATGGGTTGCCCCAAA